ATGCGTGCTTGGGAACGCAATAAGAAAACCGAGCCCACTACACATAATATTTTTTTTATCTGTCAAGTGGGGCGTGTTTGAGGCAACGACTGCTCCTTGTTCTGCCTCTATTGTTTGAGTTTTTATTATCATCACGGACAAAGGGCGCGTAAACGGTAGCACAAGCGTTATCGGCACTTGTGATCAACCTTATACTGTTTTTTTTAATTATATTTTTTACCAGAAAACCGAGATGCGTTCGTACGTTCGTGCGGGCGCGACATGCGATACGGATCGCGGGAGATTTGATTTTCGCGCGGTTTTTTTTTCGATTTTCGAACCTGAGTGACGTGTTCCTGTTTTAAATTTTTTTAGTAGTTCTCTGCGTGAGAATTTGTACTGTGATTATAATCAATGGGAACTGGGAGATTTGCACAATTTACTTTTCGGCCTCCTTCTGGAGATAGTTATGTTTTAGATCAAGTTACTGTTCTTTTTTGAATACGGGTTATGTAACACTAGTATTCCGTCTGTGTATGCGAACTGAAATCCGCATTAAAATGAATGGATATTGAATTTCCTTAATTTTTTATTATATCAATACAAATTACTAAATATTCCTGTCTTATTCAGTCTTAAAGTTCTTCACTTGCAGCGTAAACAAAACGAGTCTTAGATAACTACAGCAAGTTGTTACTAACGCGCTCCAAGCTGTGAACGGCTCACTATTGACCTCGTTAGTTCAAACAAAACGTCACAGCGCATGTAAAACAACCGCGTACTTCACGTGCGCCTTTTCCTCTCGAAAATAACTCATCTCGGCTTTTCACGAGGTGTCATTAATTCTGGGAGCTTTGTCGCGCCCGCTCCGCTTGACGCTCCGCGTCCTAATGACGCGGCTCTCAGCCGCTTGTTCTTACCTCATTAACAAAATGACGTTGACGTTAATATTTTGTGTTGCGTTTACGCGGGATTGGGAACGTTCGTGTTTTGTTTATGTTCGGAATTTAAAAAAAGTTGGCGCGGGAATTTAAAAAAATTGTAAAACGTAAACTGCATTTTGTCAGCTTCGTTTAAATTTAGAATAGTATGGTCGATCTTGTCGATAGATTGATTACTTACCTACTTACTACCTAGTTGTACATTTTTAGTTTACTATTACAACTCCTCTTCAATTTACATTCTTATTTCTACAGATAATAATGGTAAATACATTCAAAGAAAAATATTAGTCACTTCCGTAGGTATGCTTTCATATCAAAAATATTTCCCCAGAAGAAAATATGCGTGAACAATAATAATTTTTGATTTTCCCCGGGGCTCGGCTCGGCTCCGTTCTTTTAATTACCGCGCCTGGCCGGGGCGGGCTCGAGAAAATATTTAGCCTCCCGTCCTCACCAGCCCTCTGTAATTACTAATGAGCTTTACTTAAGTACATGTATAGGAGACACTGTTCAACACAACTAAATTATTTTTAATGAATCACAGGATTTAAATAGTGGGCGTTAATTAATAAAGTTTGGCTGTTCGTTCAATTGCGATGGTAACTAAACGTTGATAATTAATTAAATACTTTATTATTAGAATACAAAGGTTCTAATTCAGTTTCAGGTAAACATGATCGTAATCAAAATTAATACAAAAATTGTGAAAGTACAAAAAAGTAGCGTCTATAAAAAAACATAAATAGGTATGTATACAAACAAAACAGTAAAGTGAAACCCTAAAAATGACCTAGGTACAGTTGGCATAAGAATTTTCATTTGTGTGCAATATCGTTTCATTAGGAGGCCGTAGCCTCGAAGGCGACGGGGAAATAAGAGGAATTTCTGGGACCAAATTAGAGGCCGAGGTTCGTAATAAGAGTGGACCAAGGGACTGGCCTGATAACACCCACATTGTTGTTGCTATTATTTTTTCATCTCGGCCGAAGCATATTTCTCGTTCCTTTTTAGGTTTCTCGTAAATTGTGGGAGCATGATGATTTGTTGCGTGTTTTCTCGGAAAAATTGTTGCCATGTTTGCGAGTGCATCTTGAGTGAAGGTTTCAGTTAAGGTTTTAAAAAGAGGACCTGTTGTTGTTTAGTTTGGTAGTAATTAAATTATTCTATTTGGTTACATTTCGGCTAGCTAGAGTTACGGGGTTTAATAAAATATCGTTGATATCTTCTCACTGCGTATAAATATTCATTTCTTGTTATTTGGTGTACTGTTTAATAGATAATTTCACAGTTTAAATTTATTTATCAAATACCGCGTGAACGCCGGCGTTCCCGCACCCATTGTTCTTCTATTGTGTTTCGAATTATCCCGATTGAAAGGTTGAACCCGTACATCGCACTCTAATTAGGTAAATATGATGATGGTAATAACAGAATCACGTAAAATCATTAATTACCATAACATACAAAACTCAACAAATCGATAGTTCCTCTTCACATTAATTTCACAGCAATTATTAAATACGAGCAATTCGATAATTAATTGGTGCAAAAAGAGGCCGGCTACCGCAATGGAATCGCAACGGGATCGTGGCGGGATCGCAGTAAATCACGTTCGCACAATGCCGCCAGGTGGCGGCGGCGTCGCACGATAATGCTCGCGTTTAATTACGCGGAATAATTAGTGAACGGAATATTTTCCGGGCCCTAACTATCTCCGCCGTCTTCCGGCGATAACTAGGCGGTAATTGCGGATTAACCTCGCATTCACAATTTAATAGGTGCTCGAATAGAACGCTACGATGCTAGTCGAACCCCAATCACGGTATTTGTTTAGTGACGTCGAATTAATTATTATCCGGAAATATTCCGCGTATGTGGAGTAACGTATTACTACGATTAATTGTTTGTTAATTTTGTATTACGTCTGTTGCGAATGCGTTGCTATGAGCGAGGTGATAATTGCGCTGGAATCCAATTATTGCGCGCGTTAACTGTTTTATTGGATAAAATATTTTGTATTGTTTTTTAAAGTATATCATTACATACGAGTATTGTATAATTAAAACATTTCTGACGCTTATGTAAGTTCGTAAATATGTCATACACGTCGACTACTAATTCAAATCCAAAATTCACGGTATCTAGGCAATTGGCATCCAGTGGCGATTGTTTAGCGAGGTAACCCGTAGAGGGCGCGCAACCGCGCATATTGCATATTCGAGGCACGTGTTGCCAATGTAATTTGCGCTTTATGGCACGTGAATAATTCGCGATAATCCCCAACAACCCCGTTACTAAGGCGACGTTTGATCTCCAATACGAGGTAAAAAATAAATAATATAAGCGCATTTTCACCTGCGACATTTCGTCCGGAGTGTAGTTATTGCCGACCCCGTAGGGTGGCTAGTTGAGCGTGAACTTTGATATCGGCGCGAAATATTAATTTCTCGACGCCAATAAACAGCGAGGCGTACGTAATGCTGGCAAATTAAGCTGAGTGCCTTTAATATTATTCTGTTGGAAATTTTAATTATGAAACGATTTTCCTCATATTGGATCTCTCGAATAAATATTCCGATGGCTTTGTTTAGATGCGATGAGACTAGTTTATTGGAAATCTCGTTTTCAATTTGTCTTTTGGTGTGAAATCGTGAGTCTTTACCTACCTGTAAATTCGGGAGTTTGTTGTCAGATTGAAATATAGAATATTACTTTGCCAAATTGCCAATTGCTGTTGGTTCATGATGATTAACGCTGATAGCATTCCAATTGCCTACGTTTTTCACGACAAGAAAAGACCTTATCAGATCACGATCATATCTGTCTCATCTCCTTTTGTTCCTTCCAATCACGTAACCTAAACAAAAAAGGTCACTTTCATAAAGTTTATCGCTTACATCTAACCTCTTTAGATTTCAATTCAAAAATGGTACAACAAAACGCAATACCCAATATTAGTTGACAAAAACGCCATCTGTCGAGAAGGGCGATCATTTAAAAATCACTGCTCTTTGTTCTGAGCAGAACTAATTGCAGAGAAAGTGGGGTTCGATGGACCCCGGACTAAATTATTTTCTAATGGGGGAAGTGTACCGGTCTTTATTTAGTTGATGTGTACGGCTGGGATTTCCTTTGTGATTAGGATGTAGGATGGTGCTGTGCAATCTAATTGATTAAAACATTGATTTTTAAATAAGAAGTTTGGATTAAGTAATGTATGTTGTTACGTTTGAGTATTTTAAATACATATTGTTTACCAGAGACGCCTTTCTACGAAGCAAGAAATTAAATCAGCTTAACATTCACAGAACTGTTTGTACGGTAGCACATAGATAGACAGACACCTACTTCACTACAACAGTAATACTTGCCGTGTAGTCATTGCAAATTAGGGTATATTGATCCGTCTAAGACATTTGACAAATACCAGGCAGCAGCGCTCTTTGATAGATCACAACCCTTTGAAGTGCTATTCGTAAGTACGGGCCTGTGGAGAGCGAAGGGTAGCTCGCTGCACAACCAGAATAAGACTGGAGCGTAAGATACATCGCGCGGCCCAGAGCAGGACAAGGAACGGAGGGTTTGTCGTCAGTAAGGGTCTGACACTGCTTCCTGCCCGACCCTGGATGGGAAAAGGCATTTGATGATTTTGCCCTTATAAAAAAAGGTACATCGCGTTTAACGCGCGCCTCAAAAAGCCATCAGACTACTACAGACGTGGTCAATTGATGTACCGCGGTTTGTGTGTGTGAAAAAATGGGATCATTTTTAGTCAGTAAGAGTTCTACTCTCGCTCTCCTCTCGCCCCAGCTAGGGAGGGAGACGTCATTGCATATTTCCCAATCTCAAAAAAAACCGCTAGAATCTTGTGACATATATTTTATTTTATCTAATAGGGTTTTTTTCATTTGTTTCAGGATTGGATTACTCATTTACATCGTGGAGGATTTTACTATGTAAGTCATTTAAATTCCTTTACATGACATTAGCAAAGCACAGTTAGACCAAAATCTCAAAAAAAAAACGGAACCTAAGCAATGAATAACTCGTAGTGTAAAAACATCTTTTATTTATGATTTAAAAAATATCTTTATCCAAATCCATGAAGGTTGTCTTAATACTAAAAGCATCAAAAAACAAATTTAAGTTGTAGGTGAAAATCTGCAAGAATTTTGTTTGTCATCAAATCAACAATCACGTACGTTGATTGTAATGCCGCGGGTTCGATTCCCGTACGGAACTACTCTTTGTGTGATCCACCAATTGTTTTTCTGGGTCTGGGTGTGACGTATATGTGATATTTCGTATATTTATAAACGCACCACGACACAGAAGAAAATCAAATAGTGGACCAGAGTTTTTTAATAATAGATACGAGTAAATACTGATTACTGATTCATTAAACACCTAACTACAATTTCTATTCTCGCTATAAACTTAAACTTTTGTAGAATATCTACACATTTATGCTTATATTATAGATTTGTTGACCCCTACACTTATCCTAGAAACCATTTGAAGTTCCTGCTTACCATATAACAATAATAATTTAATACACTTACATCGATATGGTAGTCAAAACTGCTCCTGATGGTCGGCTGCGTACAATGGCGGCCGTCAATTGAATCACGAACCGATTTCCTGTGGATCAAAATCATTTCCTTTTATTCAATATTGTTCATTTGACAACTTACATACGTATGTAGGTACTTGTAGTTTTTGGTCTGAGGTCTAATTTGTTTCGTAAGGGCTCTTGTATGAGTAAGGAAGTTCTTAGGCTATAACAATGGCTAAATTGATTTGATTGGTGCCTAACTGTTTGCGCTTTTCTTCAACTTAATGTTGAGCTTTGCGTGAATAACAATAGAGATCAAATTAGATTCAATAAATATATATATTTTTTTGATTAATGAATCGGACTTATATTCATATGCTTGATACTTATCGTTTCTGAAATATGACATGACAATAAAAAAACTGAATCAAAATCCATTGCTTAGTTATAAAGACTTGAGCATACATAGGGATATAGGGACAGAGAAAGCGACTTTGTTTTATACTATGTAGTGATTTGTCAATCCATCATTATCATTTCGGTAACGCACCAATGTTGTTTTGGATGTCCATGAGCAGCGCTGATCGCTTAACATCAGGTGAACCGTCTGGTCGTTTGCTGAAGTAATCCATAAAAAAAATACAAGAACCAGAAGTACTTTCTTTGGTTTTAGATTTACAAGGCTTTCTTCTACTACAAATTTCCTGAAAATGACGTCAAATAAATATCAAACATTGTATTATTATTACTTAAACATATGGCCACGTAATATTAGCCGGTGAATTTAATACTAAAATAACATTGTAAGGCATATTGCTACTTCAGTTTTCATTACCAGAATGAAAATATTTTTCATAGCGTTCGTGGATTTATTGTGGAGCACCGGAATTGCTAGGTCGTAAGGGATAATTTTTATTTTGTGCTATAATGCAATATATAATGATTTCGTTAACTGCTATGATGTTATCATAATGATTGTTTAGAAAGTAAAATATTTGTAATTGCTATTAAACACCCATTCCTTGAACGAAAAAGTAGGAAACTTTGTTCTAAAACAGTAAATTTTTTTGGCTTATAGGGTTACCTAGGTTCGGAAAACGAGGATTCTCCAAACAGGCGAGGTGATATTACCAGGCCAGCTACTGTTCAACAGTTGTATTAATGATGGGATTTTCTATCCATGTAAAATCGCGTGCAAACTTCAGATGCGCAATGTAGGATATGTGACGTCACTAGTTTCAACTAGTATTCATTTTCATATTGTGAGATTATTATGAGATTATGAATCATCATATTCATTCATATTATGAGACCATAAGATCACCAGAGATTTATGAAATAATAAACAAGATATATATCTATAGCGGATTAACTATACAGTTATATCTATTTCAACATGTGTATTAAAAAGGCCAAAACACTAGAAAATAAACTTAGAGTGTACGCTGTAAGCAAAAACCTATAGAAATAGTTCACAAAGTATTAAGGTTTTAGGTACAGAAAGGATACCTTATGTGCGACATTTCTTTGAAACATCCACTAAAACGATAATCAAGTAAAACTATAAAGACGTTATCGTTCCACTCGGTGAAGCAGTAACGCAGTAAACCGGACTTGGCCGAACTTTTCCGATGTAAACCGAAGTCAAGATTATCGGCTATGGTTAGTTTCAACTTTGCTTCCGCGCCATCGCCACCCGAATGCTTTTTTAGCCAAAAAGCTTTATCACTTCCGTGGGGATGCGGACTATGGCCAGTTATCCAAGATGTAAGCATTCTGGAATGGGTAAGGGCGTTGGTCTCTTTGTATAAAGTGAATTTTAGAAAGTTACTGCTTCATAGAAGACTGGTGAAGTATTTGTTAATCCTCTGGTGTTGAGGGTATCCATGAGCGATTCTGATTGCTTACCATCAGGTGATGTGAGTGCTAGTTTGCCCCCTTAAAAAACTACGAATTTTTACAACAATTTTTCTTTGTATAGTATTTCTTCTTTGGCTTGTTATAAACGCTAGTCTACTTAACGAACATAAGAAATTTCATTTTTATGATATGAGATCCACGATAACTCATAAAAATCGTTTTCTGATTTGTATACCACGTGGTTTTGTCAACAATAACTGATATTTTAGCTTTTAAGTAAACATAATATGGCATTCTCTTGTATATTTTTTTTAACTTGTCACCATTTATGACAGTTTGGTAGTAAAAAGTGCACCATCCAGTAGTGTGATAATCCACAAGCATGAAGCAACGGACAACGCTGCAGAATGCAAGCACTGGATCACTTTTATAGCCGGACGCCGTAAAATAAATGTCGTGGCCCATCGCAGCTCTAGCTAATGACATCCTACATGTTACACGATATAGTAAACATTGTCCCATCTAGAGAGACTTTTACGGGATTCTGATAACAGATTCTATGTTCTTTTTTATAGGGTTTATAGTCAGATAATGTGTGGGCCTGATCTGATACGAATAATCCTGTTAGTTATACAAGTAATTGTGAGTGATAGAGTTATTTTGTACTTTAAATGAGAAATGATTTTTTTGTCGTTAATGGCTTGCTGTGATTTGAAAAAGACAGAAGAGTCCTGTGGCATTGTGTCTTTTGCGACTTTTCTGTAAGTATTTTTATTTAAAAAATACGTTAATGTGGTCTTTAATTGGGATATTCCTATCGATCAAAAATAAATTCCTTCAATATTTCAATACAATTAAATATTCAAAAATAATCGTGATAATTTGATGGATTTAAGGATATACTTAATTTTAGTTTTTTTTTCTTAACATTTTAAGAAAAAAGTATGCATTTTGACTTAAAAATATGATGACATCACATTTCTTTTATCCATACCGAATTCATACAACATTTTTCGTTTTTGACTTTTAAATAAAAGTAATTTGATTAGTTGTCAAAGACCGTATTCAGTGAACACTTTCTTAGCTAGACTTATCTATTAGGATGCACTCTGACCGTACATACATACCAACATCCAAGGCCCACAAATCAAGTCGGCGGCATCGCAAGGCATAAACACGGTTCCTTATCACGGCATTATTTACGCGCTCGACGTCGACGGAATAGTCGATGGTCGATCGCAATATATTGTCGATTTCCGGCCACCGTTGGCGAGTAATACGTTTCCGGAACGCCCTGTGGCACCGCCCTCGAAGCGTAACGCACTCTTGTATGCTGATCCGGATTTTTTCGGACCCAATTACGTAGATAAAATTTACGGTGGTGATGAAGTGCTTAAGAAAGAAAAGCTTTTTCGAAGTTTTATTTTGGCTGATTTTAACACTGGACGCTTTGGAGACAGTCTTGTGACGTAGGAGTATCATTATGTATTACAAACTTCTTAGTAGTTTTTCCCACAACTTTTCGAACCAAGTTAATAATGTACTAAATAATCTGTATATGAAACTGAGAAAAAAAAGAGTAACCATGGAGTTTCTTGGTCGTTCGTTCTGATCCATTGGAATCTTCTGTCTCGACTATCAAACTTTTTTGAAGAGTTTTTCCCTAGGTGTTCTCAGTGTGCACACAAAACTGTATCATAATGCTAAACGTCTTAGGTCATTAAATTAATTGACACTATAATTAATTGTTAAGTTAAAATGTGTTAATCATGTTTACTTAGCTGCTGTAAATTATTATGATTTATTTTCGTTTTCTTATTATGTTGTGTACCTAAAGCTAATTTACTGTAAATTTTAAGTTTAATAAATAATTCTCTACTCACTTGACTTTAGCCGCTAATTGATAAGAAAAGACATGATGAAATTGTTTAATTTTACATAAGTCACTAGATAAATTACATATATTTTATTTTTGTCAATCTATTTTAGTTTTGATGATATAACCGTTAAAAAAATCATTCATACTGGAATGAAGGTTTCACTTAAATAACGTCTACTTGACTTATGTTTATAAAAAAATATATTCTTCAGGAAACAGAACATAAAAGGCAACGTCTTGCCGCAAATTGCATATGTGCATAAATTGCATATATTTGGGGACGAGGTCATTTTTCACTGGACACATTAAGGTCATTGCGGAAGCAAGGAACCCTAAATAAATACATTCTATGGTTAATCGACGGTGAATGAGGAGTAGGGGGAATGCTTTCTCATTTGTCCCTACTTGCGGGAAACAAAGTGGTTTCATAAGAGATTTTTGTACGTAGGAAAGTTACCGGTCATTTTCCTACTCATTTCCACGTATGTAAACAGTACTTTGTAAAATACAAAAGTTAATTTTGTTAGCAGTATAAGTATCCACTTATGTTACACACAAAAAATTTGACGATTTTCTGCGCTGCTCTTACATGGAAAAAGAAAAAAGGACGGAACACTTTTCATAAATGTGACGACACTTAGACATTGGAGCTTACAACGTACGTGTATCCTGTCGAGTTATTTTGAGTATTCTTACTTTATTCTCAATTTTCTTCTCATAAACATTTTCGTAAATGTGTTTAGAAAGGTACCGGTACAAATATAGAGGTAACGTTTTGAATATTACGTTCCATTTTTAATTAAAATACCTTACCTACTTTAGGTTTGTAAAATTGCCGGAATTGCCAGGACCAGGAGAAGAAACGGGGTGGTTTTTAGTCTGAAAGTGTCTGACACTCCCATTCGCCGCTGCACCTAATGCTAGAGATTTGATGATGTTCCATTAAAAAAAAACGTTTTAAAAATTGGGTAAAAAAAATCTCTAACCAGGAAAATTGAATTATAATGTGAATAAATTGATTTTTTTTGAGGTTAGGTTATTTAAACCTAACCTCGATATAATTTAATAGAGTTAAGATTCTTATTAGGTGCATTTATAAATTTTTGTTTGATCTGGTATTGTGATAACTGGAAAGAATATAATTAACAAAATAAGTATAACATAAAACCTTTCAAGGAATTGTAAACTGAGAAGAGCTGAGTAGTTCGATTTTAGTTGATTTATCTTAATAATTAATTAATTACATCAATAATTAATTACGGCTAAAGTAATACGTTACTCAACTTCTTAAACAAACCAGTCATTAGAAATCCAAGCCAGTACAGTCGGATAAATAAACATTTATTTATAGTGTGCCGTGGTGTCACCTTGTGCCAGGAACATGACTGGCTTCCGACCTCACAGGTAATTTCCGCACCGCAATTAATCATTTTCTTTGGCCAAACCTTTCTTTTCTACTCTTTGAGTTTTCATTTTCATTAGCCGAACTGTCTGTTTGCTAAAACGCTTTTAAGATTCAATGGCATCGTTCCGTTAATATTATTTTGATTAATTGTTTTTTTTGTGATAAGTAGGTTGTTATATGTAATGTGGGGATTGAGGACATATAGGGTTAGTGTATGAGGTTAAACTGTAACTTATGCATATACATAGTGACAATATTTAAATTGTTCATATACTTTAACGAAGACATCACTGTTTGAAACTTGTTTCTTCATTATTAAGTTAAGTACTGTGTAGTTTTTATTTCGAGGTGGGAAAACATGTACCCCCTTATTACAAAACAAGGTTTATCTTTAGTCCAGGTTTAAACCATTGAGTCGGGTTTTATATTTTGAATCTTATTGTCATCTACCTTCAATTCGAAATACGAAAACTGACTCAATGGTTTAGTCCTAGACTAAAGTAAAACCTTGTTTTGTAATAAGGCCGCAAATGACTTTTCCTTCCCTTAGAGGCGCGAATTCTGTCAGACTCTTACTGCTATACCTACATGATTGAGCGTATATATTGCTTCTACAAAGAATTGCAACACAGTTCAACCTCTGTTTTTGGACTATTTCACGAATAAAACTTGTGACCTGCTCTTATTTCTTATGTTTTAAGACATAACTATTTGCAATCGTGCATCATAAAAGCTGAATTATATTATCACACGTAAAATTTAAAAGTTTCATGGCAATTGAAATCCGATGATACTATTTTATTTTCGAATGCATGTCATAATTGTGTTTGAACCTTAATAAGAAAATTTTGCTATCCTAAAAATTTTATAATCGCGAAACTCATGTAAGTTTCCATAAAAGGGTATTTGTTGAATGAATTTGAAAGTAATTTCCATAGATCTAGATTCTAATTTGGAATAACACAAGGCGCACATTTTTCCCGATACCGCTGGCCATAGCTATTTAGTTATAAGTGAAAATAACTGGAGAACCGAATCTCTAATGGAGGATGGAAGTAGGCACGCGTTCATTCAAGCACCCTCGCTAGTCGCCAGGCGCTGCGGTCGCTAATTGCCTTATTGATTGAACAGACTAGTCAATGTTCCAATACCAATGTTATATTTTCCGCAAATTTGCTTGGTATGATGGTGATAGGTTTAGGATTTGGAAGGAAGTCGTGAGGTGTTTATCTTTCTGGTTTAGGTTTAAGATACTTGGTAGCAAGTGATATATAGTGTTGTTGGTAATATTTAATCAACTCTTAAGAAAAACTATTCTGGCAACAGGGTGTTTGAAAAAAAGGATTTTTGTATTTGACTAGTTTTTTTTTTAAGATATTGGATCAAATGAATGATTGGCGAAATGAAACTAAATTATGGCTCGACCGTAGTGGTACCACGGCCGTACAGAATACCGGCGTGAAACAACTACAGTGTTGTGTTTCGCCGTGTGAGTGAGGTTACTGGAGGCCAATCCTGCCCCACCCCTAATCCCTCCCCAATTCCTAAATCTCCAAATCACTAATCCCCAAAAGGTCGGCAACGCACTCATAACTCCTCTGTTGTCTATGGGCGGTGCTGATTGCTTACCATCAGGTAATCCGTCTGTTTGCCGACCTATTACATAAAAAAAATACGGGATTTCATAGTTCAGGCACTAACATTCTGAACTTATTATACATTTAAGCAAAGGTATATACATACTAGATAAATACTTTGCTTAATACATTTTCATTTATTTAGTTATTAATTTCAAAATAGTACCATCATTCTACCAATTACAATGAAAATGATTAGACCCTTCAATGAAATCTCCAATTAGAAATTAAAGCAGGCAATACGCGTGTGTTTCTTTAATAATTACTGGTTTTTCTAATTAAGCTACAGATGGGGGTTGGACATGAGTTCACTCGAGCATACTTTCCAATGCGGTCGGTAATTGACTTCTCGATTGGTATGTATCTAATGAACCGGGGTACATGTAGGCACCTACTTATATGAAGATACTTGGTTCATGGAAAGGGTGGATGCATAGTCAAATCTAAAAAGATTCGCAGAGTATTTCTGTTTTCTGATTGAAATGACAATACAGACTATTTCTATTTAAATTTTGTACTAAACACTTCCATAGATATTTTTTATAATAGTATTATATCTTTGTTACGTGGTATAGGTAAGTGGCCAGAAATTTATAAACATATCTTAATTAGCCTTTAAATCGTAATAATTCTAGACACAATAGGAGAATAATAGATTCGCGCCGGCGTTCGCTTGGGGATTGGTGAATTGGGTGAAGTGAGTCTTACGTAGTTCCGGTAGGACAATCCTGAATTACGGAGAGGAGCGCTAATACAACAAAAATATTAGGGCATGTTATATTTCTTTAAACTTTTAGTGAACATAAAAAAAATATAGAAAAAAATATTTTCAATTACTGATAGTACACCGAGAATGTAATATTATTAATATTAAATATAATATACTATACTATACTATTTGATATAAAAACCTAAATCATTAAATAAAAAACCCAAGTGTACCTAATTGATAAACATATTTTTTCTTAATAGACACGTATCCTTTGATGTTTCGTAATTATAAATAAAATTAATTATAAACATTTTGCTTTTTTTATTTTATTCATAAGCGTTAATTAATAAATTAAAGACAGAAAAAATTAAGTAGCTTACAAAACGCTTTAGAAATTATTTTTAGCGATATTTTCGTGTAAGCATTCAAAGTGGCTATCAGTTTGTGATTTATAAGACTCTCTTTTATATAAGGTACGTACTTAAACCTACGCAAAAATAAGCACCTCACTAATTCTCAACTCAATAGGTATCTGCTTTCATTAACAAAATTTTCCAAAATATACATTGAATCAATTACGACTGACAAATTTTGTTAAGCACATACGAACATGCTAATTATATAGGAAATATTCTAATTTGCAGTCTGGGTTTAATCTTTTTTAGAAAATTTCCCACTTCTAGAATTAATTGGGAACTGAGAAAATTAAGTCGAAAGATAGTGTGTGTGAATTGCATATTTATTATATGGGATAGAGTAGCTACTGAGCTGATGGATCTCCTGATGGTAATCAATTAGTGCCGCCCATACCTAGATACCCTTATAGAGGAGTTGTAAGTGGTCCCCTAC